GAAGCGTAGACGCAGGTGTTGCTGGGAGATGTATCTGCTGTGCCGCTCGTTAAGTGGGTGAGCATTATTGATGACACTTGGCCGACAATGCATGTTAAAGAATGCCAAGGAAGATTACGTCAATATCTCGCTTTTCAATGTTTTATTTCCCTTAACAGGGTTGGGTTTTGTTTACTTGTTTGCCTGGCGCGCACGTGGACTGTCAAACGGCGGGATCACGCGTTAGTCTCTTCACAGTTATTTTAGAGCTCAACACATTTGGCATTTGACAGATCATTTATTAACATTCTGACTTCATTGTAGACTCTCCGACGTGAAAGCCTCACCACAAGGCAGTGACCACGTTGCGCAGAAGCTCAAATACATTGCTAAAATAACAACTTATCAACGCATTTGTCAATAACACTGCCCTTAAAGGGAAATATATATGAGACGAAATTTCGGGAATGCATGGCCCTCGTTCACAACACATAGATAATGGCATAGAGCTATAGTGAATGCATCGCTATAATCCATTTGTACGCCATTGTGATGATAAACCCAGACAGTGTTCGTGATTTCCATGCCAGTGTTTCATAATGAGGAATTTCATTGTTGTTATTGCTGTTGTTGCTGCTGCTGTTGTTGATCACAGTAATGGAAATGGTGGTCAGTGAACTGGTGGCTTGTAGATGCAAAATTGAACTTTGTGCGTGAATCCAAATGCAACTTCAGTCATTCCCCCCACCCAACCGATCCCCACATTGTTTCTGTGGTTTAGCCTTCACGTGATTACAAATATATATTCAGAAAGATTATTAATCATTATTGTGCCAGAGCCATGTTGCGTGAGCTGAATGTGTAGGGCCGATTACAAACGTAGTATTATGGCTGACAGCCTGCTGTCTCTTGGAGAGAGTGGCTGCTCGTTACCACATTATTTAGCTGTCTGTCTACATGTCATGCGGTGGTATATATGCCTCTTTTATAGCCAGGTATAGCCGGGGTAATAACAGCACGCTCTGTCTCAATGGCGCGTCACCAGCAATCACGGCTGGAGTCCATGAAAATACCAGCGATGATCAGAAAAGCAGTTGGAAACTGTACACACACAAAACGAATAACGCCGCTTCTAACTGACCATTATTTTTCATAGAATAACACAAAAGGGTATAAAAAAAGTGCAGCCATGCAATTACTTGCCCAACTGCCGGCAGCAAGGCCTTGACCAGAGGGCTCTGGAGAGCCCCTCGAGAAAAATAGCTTGGTCTTCTCTTCCACACCCGCCAGACATCTAGGTAAGGTGGGAATACTCACACTTTATCCTACTGCGGTGTTGCCATTGATCGGGTGGACAGAGGCAAGGGGGGGGGGGGAAGGGATTTAAGAAATCAACAGCCTCACCTGCAGCTTGAAACGAAAGTGTACTGACCATTAACACCATCGCAGCATCCCCACTCTCATGGAAAGTGGAATTCTAAATGTACCTGATGGAGTTGAACAATTATTGCATTGAATGCCTTAGCTTTTTTCCGCTGTTACAGACATTTTTTATTTAGTCTAGTCTCTGAGGAGGGCTAATGAAAGAAAACAAGAAAAAAAAGGGTTTTGCGTCATCGATAAACTGGCAAAATAATCATTATTATTATCGTGCATATATGTTACATCTATTTTTGTATGTGTTTTGTATTAACATGAAACATGTGTGTGTGTGTTTGTGTACACTTTAATATGGCATTCACCCAAGTTTAAATCATCGCTCCACTGAATTTGCAGGCTTTGATCTATTATTGTAGAGCCACTGGTCTTGCTTCCATTTTACATCAACTTATCAAAGGAAGTAATCAATACCATTTTACACAAGCATAAGCCATGAAATGTGAAATGTCACTTTTATTTATGTGAACTGAACATTTAAAAAAAATGCAAACAACCCAGTTTTTCTTGCTATAGTGCACATTTTGATTTAAAGCTTTCGTGACTGCAGTGATTCATATTCTTGGTTCTTTCGGTAAAGTCACGTTGAAGGGAAACAATAAAGTAATAAAATATATAAAACAATAAAATTCTCACGACGTTTCGACTGCAACACAAGCAGTCATCATCAGGTGTGAAAACCAACGGCAAGAACATTTGAAAGAAGTGTCGGTTTGTTTTTATTTATTTATTTTAAACGTTAGCACCACGGATAGCGATTTGACAGTTTGTTTATATCGACGAGTTCATCTATGTTCGGAAAAGAGGAGGGGGGAGACGAAAAATTAATGTCTGCTGTCTGAAAGCTACCGTAAGCGTGAACAATCAATTAAGACCCAAAATGGTTTATAAAATCCTTCCAATGCTTGCTAAGCCAGAATCCATCTTCTCGGTTTAAATTGTCTCTGTGTTTGTATATGTGGATAGCCTCATGAACGAATCTCTCATGGTAGCCAGATGGCTTGCAAAGAACCTCTGTCTTGGAGAAGTCAATGTCATGTGAGCCTACTGAATTATAACAGTGATCTGCCACGGCCGAGGTGTTGGTCCTACCGTGTTTAAGGTCCGCTTTGTGTTCACGAATGCGGTCCGAGACATGTCGTTTGGTTTCTCCAATGTAACTACTACCATAGAGACAACTTAGTTTGTAGGCACCAGGGTACTGTATGTCCGGAATCACATCTTTTACAGACGGAACCAGATCACGGATTTTATGTCCGTTTCAACACATTACATAAAATCCGTGATCTGGTTCCGTCTGTAAAAGATGTGATTCCGGACATACAGTACCCTGGTGTCTACAAATTAAGTTGCCTCTGTGGTAGTAGTTACATTGGAGAAACCAAACGACGTCTCGGACCGCATTCGTGAACACAAAGCAGACCTTAAACACGGTAGGACCAACACCTCGGCCATGGCAGATCATTGTTATAATTCAGTAGGCTCACATGACATTGACTTTTCCAAGACAGAGGTTCTTTGCAAGCCATCTGGCTACCATGAGAGATTCGTTCATGAGGCTATCCACATATACAAACACAGAGACAATTTCAACCGAGAAGATGGATTCTGGCTTAGCAATCATTGGAAGGATTTGATAAACTATTTCGGGTCTTAATTGATTGTTCACGCTTACGGTGGCTTTCAGACAGCATACATTAATTTTTCGTCTCCCCCCTCCTCTTTTCCGAACATAGATGGACTTGTCCATCTAAACAAACTGTCAAATCGCTATCCGTGGTGCTAACGTTTAAAATAAATAAATAAAAACAAACCGACACTTCTTTCAAATGTTCTTGCCGTTGGTTTTCACACCTGATGATGACTGCTTGTGTTGCATTCGAAACGTCGTGAGAATTGTATTGTTTTATATATATTTTATTATTTTATTGTTTCCCTTCAACGTGACTTTACCAAAAGAACCAAGAATATATAGTGCACATTGTTAGTGGCGGATGTCCCGAGTTCGATTCCCGCTCACGGCCAACAACAGTGACGATTATCTGAACCGGTCTTGGGTCACCCCTAGGCCAACTCAGCCTCAAATGAGTACCTAGTGCAATGTCTAAACATTTCCTAGAGGGAGACAAAGGCGGCCGGGTGTGGTGCTGGCCACCCACCCCCTCGTGTGCCATTCTGGCCTTCATAGGTGTTGACAGCACTCGCCTCAACAGTTTGTTGAAGGCTATAGGGGAATCTTTGTCTTTGTGAAGTGGTGGCACTGTGGTTAGCGCACTTTGCTACACAACTGGCGACCAGAGTTCGATTCCTGCTCGCGGCCGATGTCAGTGACGTATATCTGAACTGGTCCTGAGCATCCTCTGGATTGACTCAATTGAGTACCTGGTGTTGTGTGTGTCGCGTCGTCTGTGCGTGCGGGTGGCGTGCATCGCACACAAAGTCAGGCGCAGGAGGCACCGCTCTGCCCTCTTTATTCGTTGTTGTTGTTGTTGTTGCCGAGCTCACGCCACCACTCGGGCCCTCTCTCTCACACACGACCCGGCTGCCGCGCGCCCTGTCCCAGACATGGCCCTGTCCGCGTTGCACCGACGGCGTCGACCGGGACAGCCATCCACTGTCCAGCCGTGCAATAATCGGGCGTAGGCGGCAGCGACGAGGAGACGAGTCCACTCCCAGAACCGGCAGCCCGGAGCTCTCGCTCTCCGCTGCTCACATTCCGCCCGGCGCGGCTTGGGTTCCAGGGGCTGCCACACGAGGTCTATCATGACCCTTGCCCAGCGGCGTGTGCGCTAAGTGCCCACCTGCAGTTGCAGCTGCTGTCCAACAGTCAGCGTGATGTCACTACATCTGTAACCAAGTTGGTCACCCACCCCTTTGAGTGCAGCTCCAGCCTTAATAGGTGCTCCAACAGTCTGTTGAAGGCTACATGCTAGATCTTTGTTTTTGGAGTGGTACCATAGTTTCTGCACTGCACTATGAACCCAGGAAACTGCTCATTTGATTGCTCATTCCTAACGAGCAGTATACGAACTGGTTCCGGTCTTCGCGAGGTCAATTCAGCCTTGAATGAATACCTCTAGTTTTGCGTCAACATCAGCAGAGTAAGGAGGCAAAGCCGATCGGTTGTGGTTCTGGCCACATGACCCCCTTGTTAGCCAATGAGCGAGAAGGGTTGGTCGGTACCACGTGCAGTGACAAATACTACCCGTATCGACTACATGGGCAAATGACCCCTGTTTGCATGAAGCTTTGCATACATACTGTGTGATTTATAAGACTCGTGTTTATAATACCTGTTAAACGTACAACACATACTCTTGTTTCATTACCTTTTCAATTACCTTTTCCCCAAATGCAGCTACCATAGTGGACTTGCTATCTATCATACGTGTGTGTGATCTCGAATTAAAATGCCTCATGAAAATCACTGTTAGCATGTGCCACCCATTTTCTTGGGGCCAATAGCTCAAGGACTATGCATGTGGTGAACTGTAACAGACGCTCGTCATCGTCAATAGCCTGTGCGACTGTGCAACGAATCTGTGTCTCTGTGTGAGCTCTTTGTCTTCTCTTGCCTGTTGCAGCTCGCAGTGTGGGACCCGGTGCGAGGACTCAATGGCACTTTGCGAGACCGTCGCCTCGAGAACAACATGAATGGCATTTCCCTACGTGTCATCGCTGTGCTGGTGAGTCACGTATAAATGGAGGACCCAAAGTGCACTTCATAAGTACCCCATTAACGTACATGGATTTTACCATTCATTTGCTGCAGTTGGTTTCGATTTCAAATCCTGGTACGGGGTTGACTCAGCCAATGATCTCTCTAGGGTCGATACAATTAATTGTCCTATGCAGAGACTAACCCCCAGCATGGAAACGTGGAGTTTCCACCACTGGATCAAGGCTATAAATAGTTGAGTAACGTCTCAATGCTCATTTTGAGCAGGAAATTACTTTGATAATTTATTGTGTAGGTTCGTTTACATTTGGCCTCTGTATGTTCCCTGGAACAAGATTCAAGATGCTTTTAAAAAAATTATTGACAGCGGACGAAAGCACGTCCTCCAAACTGCCACGCACGAGAGGGCTTGACCCGGCCGTGGTGCCCATCAGGGGCGGGGGGGGGGGGGTGGGAGGGAGCCTTTCCGGTATCGTCCAGTGAAGACGGCGGTCTAGAGAGAGGTGTGTCGTCCCGACGGACCCTCGTCTGTGTCGCGAACACGGATTTGCATTTATTCAGAGAGCAGCTCCGTTCATTGAGTAAAGGTTAACAATTCGTGTTCGCAAATGGAAGTTTTTACTTTGGCAACAGTTGACACGGGAATTGATTTACAGACATATTTGACTCTGACTGCTCTACAACACGGGGCTGGGTATTGATGGGCAACTTAGCGATAAGCGCACTTTGCAGCTGAAGCAATTTACATGAATTCAACAGTTTATATTCACGCAGCGATGCCTGCATGGATTTCATTTAAAGCACTGCGTGTGCTCCAGAGCACATTGAGCGAACCTATGACACAATTGACAAGAGTAACGCTTTCTGCGCCTATGTAACAGCGCAAATAATTACAAGTTTGAAAATTTACCCAGGAAAGGAAAAAGACATTACACTGGGCTCCAATGTGATTGAATAAGGAACAGCTATGATGTCATGTTTATATGCAGGAAGGCCTCACTGAGTCGCATGGTTCTTGTTCAGGAGGGTTCTGCATTGGTCTATTTGGCATACTGGTGAATAAAACTCATGAACCCACTTGCTATACGTTCCATAACCTGGTGGTTAAGTAGGCGCTGCTGTGTCCAGAATGTGCTTGATTAAGCGGCCCTCACCTCTAAAGTATGGGATCACAGCTGAGCACCATCACACCCAGCTCCAACCAATGGAGCACCACGTTACATTTGAATATGCACATGCTCAGATATTGTTATTTGTACATACATTAGACATCAAGTTCCTATATGTTATTTGTAAAAAAAAATCTACCTAAAGATATATCACGAAAGTATATAATCAAGAGGATTTAGTTTTAACTGATGTAAAGATATGTTAAAAATGTATCTGCATTGTGAAAGTATTTTTATATTTATAAACCAATTCATTAATTCATCCCATTCAAAAACAACAAAGAATTGATAGGTTAATTATAGAATGTTTCCCATTATCCAATTATATATTTTTATACATTCAAACTAATTGTAATGTTGCATCAATGTATCTAGTACAAGATGTTCAAAGATATTTCATCATGCCATTCAAGCAGAACATTAAAAAAAGCATGCCTGAATACTTCAGATAATACAACTGCTCATGTTGGCATTACATAAAATGGTAATGGCAGTGGATAATCATAATATACTCAGTCAGGTAGAAAAACACATTGTCATCATGTTAAGGAAATGGATTTGACATGAATCATCGTCGCCCGATTACCTAGCTGAAATGTCTCAGAGCTCAGTGCTTCGCACACTTTTTTCAAGCGTGGCAAGGTATGTGAATAAGAGCATGCAATGCGATTTCAGGAAAGGGTGGTCCAGCACAGATGCCATATTTTCTGTCTGTCTGTTACAGCAGAGGTGTAGGGAATTCCAACAAGACCTACATCTCTACTTTATTGACCTGGTCAAGGCCTATTATACCATCAGTAGGCCTGGGCTCTGGGTTGTTCTTCGTGATTTCGGAGTCCCTGACCCTCTGCTGACGATCATTAAGAACCTTCATGATGGTGAGCGGGCCCGGGTAAAACTACGTGGCCGGGAGTCAAAGCCATTCCCTGTACACCTTGGGGTGCGACACATTATTTAACATCTATTTTGACCACGTAGTTCTGAAGGCTTCAATAGCTGTACCGGAGGAATTTCCATGTGGTACAGATACAATGGGAGGCTGATCGATGCCCGGGTGCGGTCAAGGGATGGCTCCCTATTGCTCAACCATGTTATGTATGCCGATGATCTGGTAATTGCTGCTCACTCAGAGGAGGAGTTGGAGGCGCTGCTGCTGAACCTGGAGCTTGCCACTAAGAGGTGGGGCCTTACCATCAGCCCCACCAAAACTAAGCACCTGCCTGGGTATATTGTACCATCGGACACTCCACCCCCACAACTCCCAATTGGTGATGGGGCAGTTGTGGAGAGAGTGGAGAGTTTCCCATACCTGGGCAGTGTGTGTGCTCATGACCGGCTCCGGTTTAACAGCAGAGGTCTCACTCCGAATCAGTCGAGCGGCATTATCTTTTCATCGGTTGCGTAACGCTGTGTGGAAGCTACCTGGTCTGTCGCTCCACACGAAGCTTCAGGTCTTCTCGGCCACAGTCATTCCCTCCCTTCTCTACACTTGCGAAACGTGGACCCCCCTAATGGAACATCTTTGCCGGTTATAAACATTTAGGCTGGCTTGCCTACGATCCATCCTGGGTTTAACCAGGCTGGATTGTGTGAGGAGCTCACAAATCCTTGAAAGATCTGAACAAAGTCCCATCGGTGAGCTCCTCCGGCAGGCAAGGCTGCGTTGGCTTAGCCATGTAGCCCGCATGCCCAGCATGCCTAAACAGTTTTTGTTTGGCCGGATCGACGGGGCTAGACGGGCGTGGCACGGGCTAGAGAAGAGATGGAGTTATGTGGTACAGGAGGACGTGGAGCTGAGTGGACTTGCCGATGACTGGTACCAGCGGTGTCAAGATTGGCCTCTGTGGAGGAGGCTCGTGAAGGACGCAACTGGGCAGTTGGAGGCAGTCGCCCTCCAATAACAACGGAGGGTGGAGGAATGACGCTCACAACAACGAAAGAAGCGCTGGGTGCTAAAGCAGAGCAGGTTGGCACAGGTCGTGCAGCAGCCAGTCGTCTCAGTCAGTCGACCTGTGGCATCTGGGTCTGCCCCGTGACCTGCCAGCGGGCGTTGGACACTTCACGTGGCCTCAAGGTGCACATGGCCTGGCACATGCGTCGTGGTGACGTCACCGCCACTTAGTGGCGAATGGCGGTTGTTGTTGCAAACAGTTTGGCCAAAATGTCAATGAAAATGTGCCCTATGAAACAAAATACATTCGCAAGTTATTTAAACATTATTGTTTTTTTTTTATCAAGGTCTGCTGTGACTATCAACAAATTAGTATGACTATGTACGCTTGTTTAACCATGGAAGCCTTGCTGAGTTTTTACTCTTCTTGGGAGGGTCCCGCTAAGTTTTTCACAGTAGGGGGCGACAGTTGCTTTGTTTCCCAATGATGTAATTGAGTAATTTAGGACATTTTGCAATTTGGGCCGTAGAGTAGGCACACGTGGCCTCATATTTATCACATAGCGTTGCGAGAATCTTGAACTGCGGTTCGCGTTTATTCTTCTGCCCTTACCCTCGCGCCTCCGATGAACACAGTTGGCTGAGTACGGTGCGGAAAAAGTTGAACACACACTGTACGTGTGCACGTGCAATGTCTACTGTGACGCTGATGGCGCCTAGTGTTTATGGTGGATGCTCGGCGGAATATTAACCACGTCAGCCGTAGGCTGGAACCGCGAACGTCTAACAACATGGGCCATGTCGCCGGCCAGCAAGCAACCTGGAAGCCAATGCACCTTTTTTTTATGTCTTGCTGCTTCTGTGCGTGTGGCTCGGGGATATAAACGTGCCCCTAAAACTCCTCGCCATGCCACTGGTGGACGCACAGGTGTGTAGCTGTCGGCACAGAGCTGTAAATCAAGCAGAGTATGCCGTAAACACACATTCATAAGGCAGGACTTGCCCTCAGAGTTGCTGCTGGCAGAGTAATTTCTGCTCAATAAATATTCATGAAGGTCTGATGTCTGCCTTGAGACCCCTTTTTTGTTGTTGCCAACTATGGCAGATCCGCGCGTCCAATTGAGTCGCGACTCTTGAGCGAACGGCATTAGGTGGGGAGAAATAGAGAGCGAGTGAGCGGGCTATGGGCTGTGAGCAAATGTATTTTTGGACAAGTTTTAAAGATTCTTTAAAAAAATATTGTTGTTAATTGTTATCGTTAAATGTATTATTCTTGCACCTACTGGCCTGTATTGAATTTATCTCAAATTCATCATTTATACAAATCTTTATTTGAGCGAACAGCATTTTCCATGTGCTTAAAATAAGCCTTATTTTATAATTGTGTAGTGAGTTCAACTGAGTCGCAGACGTAGACTTGGAGGCAACACATTTATTCAACTCCAACACACGGGGTAACTTTCCCCTTAACAGAATAACAACCTATGGTGGTGACCACCAGGCTAACTACGCTAGTTACTACGTAGTGTAGTTAACCTGGTGGTGACCACCAGGCTAACTACACTAGTTACAACATAACTGCTACTACGGACCGGGACCAACAGCTTGGGTCCAGGTCCACGTGTTGGAGACTCGTTGAACAGAGAACATAGACAAAGTAAATTTTCTTGTTGTGGTTTTCACACCTGATGATGATTGCTTGTGTTGCAGTCGAAACGTCGTGAGAATTTTATTGTTTTATATTTTTATTATTTTATTGTTTCCCTTCAACGTGACTTTACCGAAAGAACCAATAATATATAGTGCGCATTGTTAGTGGCGTATGTCCCGAGTTCGATTCCCGCTCACGGCCAACAGCAGTGACGATTATCTGAACCAGTCCTGGGCCACCCCTAGGCCAACTCAGCCTCAAATGAGTACCAAGTGCAATGTATAAACATTTCCTAGAGGGAGACAAAGGCGGCCGGGTGTGGTGCTGGCCACCCACCCCCTCGTGTGCCATTCTGGCCTTCATAGGTGTTGACAGCACTTGCCCCAACAGTTTGTTGAAGGCTATAGGGGTATCTTTGTCTTTGTGAAGTGGTGGCACTGTGGTTAGCGCACTTTGCTACACAACTGGCGACCAGAGTTCGATTCCTGCTCGCGGCCGATGTCAGTGACGTATATCTGAACTGGTCCTGAGCATCCTCTGGATTGACTCAATTGAGTACCTGGTGTTGTGTGTGTCGCGTCGTCTGTGCGTGCTGGTGGCGTGCATTGCACATTTCGGTTCTTGATTGATTGTATTTTACGGTGACTTTCAGACCGCAGTCCATTCGCTGGCACTGCCTATTAGTACCTATCACACGACGGTCAATAGTATAGTTTATAGCATTTGTATGATAATAAATGGTATAACAGTGTAATGTTTAACATAATTCATAAGGCAATATATAGTGCCGTAATTGTATAGTGAATATACAGCAGTGTGGTATACAGTACGGTGAATACAATAATACATTGTGTAATACTACAAGTCTAATATTTTATAGTCTAAAGTATAGGGTAGTGTATAGTAACGCATTGTATAATTCAAGGGTGGGATTTGTCTATGGATACGATATTATACAATGCAGTTTAGATTGGAAGGTATAATATTGTAATGTATAGTAGTCCAGTTTATAGAATAGTTATAACGCAACACAGGACAGAGCAACGCACCTTGGCTGCTTCCTCCTCTTCCCCCCCCCCTCCCCCCTCCTCGGTTCCGGACATGGATGGACTCGTCCGTCTGAACACAAGCTCGTCGTTCTCCGTGGTGTTAATCCCTCATACTAACATCATGCTAATCCCCCAGTTACATGCTAATTTACTGTTGATATGTAAACTGCTGCTAATCCCTCACACCAACATTATGCTAGTCCCCCAGTTACATGCTAATTTATATGTAAACTCCTCTCCCCCCCTCCCCTCGTCCGTCTGAACATAGCTCGTCGCTGTCCGTGGTGCTAATCCCTCACACCAACATCATGCTAATCCCCCAGTTACATGCTAATTTATGTTAACTCCTTTGTCAAGGCGCTCTGTTCCTCTCACACAGCTTAAAAGACGCTGTCCATGCTTGGCAGTGTTCACTCAAGCGCTGTCTTCCGGACAGTCCTGTTTCTTCACCTGAGGAAGGCTACTTGTGTTGTGGCCGAAACGTCGTGAGAATTTTATTCTGTTATTATTTTTTATCATTTTATTCCCATTCTACGTGACTTTACCGAAAGAACCCAGGAGATGAATCCCTGCAGTCACGAAAGCTTTAAATCGTGCTTTCGTGAGTTTATAAATTTTTATGATTTACATTTTATATGTTTTTCTCCAGAGTAATTTCAACCTTGGCACATTCAAATCAACTTGTGCGTTTTGAGGAAAGAAAGCATATGCAGTATACCAGGAATACATTTCAAAAGCAATTATATGTGGATATTTATACTTACATCAAATGAGGATTGCTTTCTGGGTAAAAATTTGCCCATCTGCTCCTCCACAGTTAAAATCTGTATTGCAGGCACTTAACACTCATGTGGGTGTCACACTTTTCTTCCTTAATAGGCTTGAAAGGGACAATATTTAGAGCATTGTGTATATCATTAGGTATGCCGTGTGAAAACTCGTACAGAGGGATTATGTTAAAAGCAGCTTAAATGCTCATTAGATTTCCTCATCTTTATAGAGCAACACAGCTTGCCACCCTCTCGGCATTTGATATTCGCGAGATTGTAGCCGGCATAAGTGGCAGTGGCATAAAATATCCTCGTGAATTGCAAAGCTTAACATGAAATTACCCATGTGGTAAATCACAAAGGCAGCAGCAAATCTTTGGCATGAAAATGTAAAGAAGTAGTGCGGGCTTTGCGCTCTGAATGGGAAGTGTATGCTTGAGGAATTTTGCGAGTTTTATTAAAATTGCTCAGTAGGAAGGCACCGTGGAATACTACTTGCGACTATGAATACAGCTTTCTCGCGACGCTCCCCCACCCTACCCTCCCACTTTCCCATCCAAAGGCCCTCTCTTTGCTGTGCATAAAATCTGATCATATTAACATTTATTGCTATTACAAGTGCATTGCCGTAATGCGTTTTTTTTTGTTGCAGGAGGAGCCCTTTGTGATGCTCGCTGAGAACGTGCTCGGCAAGCCCAAGAAGTTCCAAGGATTCTCCGTGGACGTGATGGATGCCCTCTCCAAGTCGCTTGGCTTCTCCTACGAGATCTTCATGCCAGCCGACCTCAGCTACGGCCTACCCCAGGCTGACGGCACGTGGAGCGGCATGATTGGAGAGCTCCTCAACAAGGTGCGAAAGTTGGTGATAAGCGTGTGTAATTCCAGTCATTTCGTCATAATTTCAACTTGCAATGCGCCGCACACTCTCAAAGAGAACGACTCAGAGGGGCGAAGAATTACAGACAAGCAGAAAAGGCAGCCAGTGGGTGAGCCCATGCCAAATTCACCCCAAAGCTCTGTGGTCCTCTATATATTAAGGTCAATTAATGGGTCTTTTCGTGTGGGAGCAGAACAAAGCACCGAGAATAAAAACATGCATGAAAAAAAACGTTTTTGATGTGTTTTTGGGTTTTACTGGACGTCATTTAGTATGATGTCCGACACTTCGCTCACTGCACATGCTCGGAGCGAATTCAGGAAATGTACAATTAAACAAAAAGAAACAGTTGCTTAACAAACTCCCAGCACATGGAGCGATACGTTAGACATTATGCCGGACAACACGCGATACAACTCGAGCTACGGCATAACTGTGAAAACCTACATAGTAAGAGATATTACGGTTTTTGAGTCACAAATAAACCTTCATGTACAAATACATATTCCGTGCACACACACACACACAGGTATAAAGCTCGATATGAGTGTCACAAACCATAAGGGCCTGTGTGTATGTGTATAGTTTCATTGGCCAGCTCAAGCTGCTCTCTATTTTTCTTTAAAAATGAACGGTGCTGGATGGGCCACTCTGTAGTATGGCTGAGGTCATGTCCTCAAAAAAAACGTCCTTATTATGTGACGGTCCTTTCAGCCACGGGTTACATTTCGTACAGCATTGTTCGAAATAATGAGGCAAATACAGATAAACCGATAACCCACAAATCAATGTGTGCAGAGAGGAAACTAAACCCAGACAGAAAGAGAATCTAACTTGTTATATCTTCCTTAGACTCGACAGGATTATGTCAATAGTGTAGCTGAAGCTTGTGGAGAGAGTTTCCCCTAATTTCCTATTGAGTAGTATGATCTACAAAAGTGATAACATTATAATGACTTTTTCGCTTTAAGTGGAGATATCCTTCTGAGGCAAAGTTGTAGCAGGAATTGGCCTATGGGGTATTTGCACATCTGCAGTTTGTTGATAAGCAGTGCAACTTTAGGGCTTTGAAAGTGGATATGTTTTAAACTGTCTCAAGGTGAACATTTTAATTATGAAACATTTGGTGTAGTCCCATCTAAATGTAGCTGTGGTATAATATTAAAAACATGATGATAATGTCCTGCTACACCAACGTGTTTGTTTTAGCTGTGGTGGCTTGGGGTAAGCCTTCATCAGGCAGTGGATTGACAATGGCTGATGAGGGCGATGATACATTTATTTCAACACGGTAGAATGTAAAATGCAGTATGTATGGCTTGTATTTGATAAATGTGAGATTCATATGCAATTTGGAATATCCTGCTGACTGAAACATGTTTTTAATTACCATTCATTTGATGTTAAAGTGCTTTAATGAAATCTGGTAAATTTGTGTAAAATGAACTTCAAATGAATGACAAAAACAACTCTTAACATATGAATGGTTTTAAATTTACCACTCTCAATATATATACAACTTTCCGTATAAAGGCAGCATATTTTAATCTTCTAAGTGCCATATGTAGAGCTTGAGACACATTTCCACATCGGTATGTTTAATACAACTTGGGTTTACAAAGAGTCTTAATGTGGTTACTTTTCAAAGCCCTGCACAATTCGCAAGAGGTGCACATCATGAGCAGGTGAAGAGGAGAGGTTTTTTTTAAAGCCTATAATGATTCACACCTCCAATTCAACGAATTGTCACAATTCAGTTTCGATTTCATTCAAGAATAATATATTTTTTTTAACATTGTTACGAATTAAGTACCACCAGTGGCTGCGAGGTTTAAATTTACCAATTGCATAACAATTGGATACGGATTTATTGTAATATCTGAATCGTTGCGTTGTTGCGAGATTCCATTTATTTATTTATTTCGGATGCCAAAGGAAAGTCGATCACTGCATGACAAAGAAGGACATTAAATTTCAAATTGCAGCTTTCTCAGTGGCTCCATGAGTGGCTCGCAATCGGAAGGTTGCGACTTAAGCTCATGATTGGGGTGCTGACTTAGCCTATCATCCCTCCGGGGTAAATTAAATGACTACCACTTTGTGGGGAAGTCAACAGAGGTTGCCCTATAGAGAGACTCACCCAAAGGGATGTGGAATTTCCACCACCAGTGGCTCAGGGCTTTAAACAGGAGATGAACACCAATGCCTCAATGCTCATTGGAGCAGGACATGATTGACTTATTTTACTTTGACATATTGGAGGGACAGTAGTCATTGGCAGATGACGGAAAGTCGTAAGCATGGACTTAACTTAAACAGGGCCAGTGTGGATGGCCAGGGAATTGGGATTCCAGAAAACGTGGATAGCAGCAAAGATTTAGGAGACTCCTATTGAGTGGAGGTTGACTGCGGGGGGGGGGGGGCAGTTTGCAGTGGAGAGCATGCGAAGGGGGAGTAGATAGACACAAGATGTAGGAGATAACATCGGGGTGATGTGTGAGTGCGATTTCTTTGTGCGTGTGTATATAACAAAAACATTCTACCTGACACAGCTAGGGGGGTGGGGGGTTGTAGCATGTGTTTCAAAGCATGTGCTGTCTCGGGAGGTAGGGTCATGTATAAACATGTATAAACACGTGTCAGCCCGATATACTCTGCCTCCCGTGGTACAGCCATTTTGTCACTTGCTTCAGTGAACTGCAACCTGCCTAGTTTGCTGACTCACTTCCATAACTCATATTTTTTTTTGCTCATTCTGAATATCAAAATGTTTAGAAACGTAGGCTTACTTATAACTGCATGAGGGGCTTTTTGTAAATTAAAAGTTTTTTTTTTTATTTTCTAAAGGAGACCCGGTAAAATCATATTATGTGCAGAGGTCAGAGGTTATATCATATGAAAAAAGTAAAATATTGCAAAAGAGCTTGCAAGATTTATACCACGTGAAGTTTCCCATCTTCTTACGTACGGCCACATGAATATCAACTTTTAAGTATCTGTCCAGTTTAGTTAGCAAGTAGGTGGCTTCACTCGGTGAGTGGCAAATTGCTTCATTGCCTCTGGAGTTTACAGTGGTTCACTGTGTGGTCAATGACCTGGTCAGTGTTTCTGCAATCAAATGTCGTAATTCGTTTGAAATTTGTCTTTGAAGGTAGTGGGTGCATGTGCCATGAGATGTGCAGATTTGATGAGATGTGGACTATTTCTTTCGAGGTGGATTAAAGACGTTTTTCATAATCAACCAAGACAATAATTCTCCGATGTTTTCAGATTGTTCCGTATCTTCTTCAGCACGGTGTCTGACGTTTCACTCCATGTGCTGGGTACTTCCTCAAAAGCTGACTTCAGATCCCGGACCATGTAATTAAGCGTTTAGCATGGAGAGAAACATGGGACATCATGCCGAACAAAGCATGGTCTAATCCGAAATGCATCTACGAACAATACAGCAACAATATCAACAGCCACCATTCATAATGTAGTGACGGTGATATCACCACAGCACTTGTGGCAGACTAGGTGCACTTTGAGGCAACTCTGAAGTGTCAAAGGCTTGCTGACAGGAGGCCACAGGACAGACCCAGAGTGTTATGGGATAACTGACTGAGATGATTGACAGATGCACCATACAGCACAACCAATAAAACATACGCCGTGGTATAGCCAAAACAACAAGCCAAAAAAAACCGTACGTGCCTTTCATTATTATCCACCAATATGTCCACGCGTTTGACCACATCCAACTTCTCGGCATGCTTGCCACCCTGCGCCGCCACCATTGCGGGGTTTGGCCGGTGACGCGCGCAGAGGGCGGACGTGGCGATCTCGGCGCTCACCATCACTCCGGAGCGCGAGAGCGTCGTGGACTTCACCAAGCGCTACATGGACTACTCGGTGGGGGTGGCGGCGAGGCGCCCGGCCGACTCGGCGGGGCTCTTCGCGCTGCTCAGCCCACTGGAGCCGGCCACGTGGGCGTGCCTGGGCCTAGCCGTGGGGCTCGTGGGCCTCCTCGTCTACCTGTTGAACCGCGTGACCCCGCGCCGCGAACCGCGCCACAGCCCCTCGCTCCCCGCCTCGCTCTGGCTCGTCTACGGCTCCTTCATGCAGCAGGGTGAGGAGCGCGCACGTCTCCCCTGGTGGCGGTGGGTGGTGTGGGCGGTGTCGGGGGTTCACGGCCGTCGACTTTGGCAAATGAAATGCCAAAGTGGCCATCACGGTTGCTGAGCACAGGCCTCGTGGCCCAAATTGTCAAAGAAGCAAGCAACAGCAGCACTATAGAAGGTGTAATAGATCTTGGCTTAAAACTTTCATGACTACAGGAATTCATACTCTTTGGGTCTTTCGGTGAAGTCACGTAGATGGAAAAATAATGAAAAATCACGACGTTTCGATCGCAACACGAGCAATCGTCTTCAGGTGAACAAATAGAGCAGGCGAACTGCTGAGGCAGGAGAAATATAGCGAGAGCTACTGCAGCTAGAGATTATAGAGGTTTGAGATGGGTACAACCCAAGGGTAAGTGGGCGGGGCTAGAGATGGAATTTACAAGTAATATACCTCAGTCATAGCATTGCTAGAGATTAGCATGTCAATGTGTTAATGTATTAATGAGAGAGACATTCAGCCTATTAAACAACTAGCGTCACCACCACATCGAGGAAAAGGGAAGCAGCGGCTATGTTAGTGAGACATTTAGCCTATTAATTTAAAGGCATATAACAAGGCAATGTAACTCAGAGAGTCGGAAATAACTGTTAACATCGGCAGGTAGGATGGAAGCATCACAGCCAGGTATGACTTTACCTCGTTAATAACATCCTTCCAATGATTGTTCAGTTTGTACTCATCTTCTCGGTTGAAATTGTGTCTGTGTTTATATATTTGGATGGCTTCATGAACTAATCTTTGTTGATAGCCAGTGGGTTTGCATAGTACCTTCATCTTGGAGAAATCTATTTCATGTGTGCCCACAGCGTTAAAACAATGATCAGCCACAGCAGATGTATTAGTCCTACCGTGTGTCAGATCTGCCTTGTGTTCACGAACACGGTCGCTTGGTTTCTCCACTGTAACTACTGCTGCAGGCACAACTTAGTCTGTAGACACCGGGGTATTGCATGTCAGAGATCACATCCTTCACAGAAATGGCGAAGCCAGGATTTTCAGGTAGAGGTGGCAACCCCTCCAGCAATGAAAAATGATGGGAGTTGTTAGTAACTAAGGACTTGTCCCTTGCTTTGTATTCGATGCGTATGCGGCGATGGCGTAGCCATCGATCGAGGGTCGAATTTGAACCGTGTGTGATCAGCACCGCACTCGCTGAAGATGAATGCCTTCAGGGAAGTCGTGTACTGTATACGCAACTGCGCACAATTCTGTGAGTCACTTATAACCGCTTTGCCGTTACTCATTGGCAATTATGGACTCAGACTATTGTCCTATCATTCATAGAGTCCCTGGCACGTAATAATATGCTACACAGTGGCAGTGGGGGTCGCAAAATGCCGATTTATTACAAATAAACTCCAATGATCCGATCGAAATTAGGGATTTCGATCGGATCATTGGGGGGGCACGTGCCACCCCCCCTCCCCCCCCCCGCAATGGCTCCGCCAGTGCTTCACAGATGGGATCAGATTACGAATTTTATGTACTGTGTTGAATCGAACGTGGATCTTGTGTTTGTTCATTATTTTGGAATTATTTTTGGTGACCCCTGCTATGTATGGCAAGGTGATGGTTTTTATTGGGTCCTCAGGTGGTTCTCTCCCAACGGTTGGGGTGACAGCTTTACGGACTGTGCAATCCGAATATCCATTCATCTTGAGAGCTTGGTGTACGTGCTGCAGTTTGCTGGCTAGGTGGTGATGGTCGGAAATGCAACAAGCCCTGTGGTGGAGAGTTTTGATGAGTGAATTCTTCTGGGCTGGATGGTGGTGGGAGTCAGGTTTTAGATAGGCATCCGTGTGGGTGGCTTTCCTGTAGACAAAGTGTCCCAGACACAATTTCAGACACAGACACAATTTCAACCGAGAAGATGGGTACAAACTGAGCAATCATTGTAAGGATGTTATTAACCAGGTTAAGTCATAACTGGCTGTGGTGCTTCCATCCTACCTGCTGATGTTAATAGTTATTTCCGACTCTCTGAGTTACATTACCTTGTTAAATGTCTTTACATTAACAGGCTAAATGTCTCACTAACATAGCTGCTGCTCCCTTTTCCTCGATGCGGCAGTGGCGCTCACCGTTTAATAGGCTGAATGTCTCTCTCATTAACACAGCCGCTGCTGCGGGAGCCGTCTCACATTGACATGCTAATCTCTCATCGAGCAATACAATGGCTTCTTCAGCACCGTAACCATGGGGTTACATTAACACATTGACATGCTAATCTCTAGCAATACAGTGGCTTCTTCAGCATCGTAGCCGTGGGGTTACATTAACACATTGACATGCTAATCTCTAGCAATACAATGGCCGAGGTATACCTAGCTCTGCGATCTTACATTTACTTGCAAATTCCATCTCTAGCCCCGCCCACTTACCCTTGGGTTGTACCCATCTCAAACCTCTATAACCTCTTGCTGCAGTAGTTCTCTCGGTATATTTCTCCTGCCTCAGCAGTTCGCCTGCTGTATTTGTGTTTTATTTTTCTATCTACATGACTTTCCCGAAAGACCTAAAGAGTAAGATGTAGTAGGTCGGAGTTGATACGTCTGTTAAGTTGAGCAAGGTGGTAGATAGTGGGAGGGAATTCCAAAGTGGAGCTATGCAAAGGACAGAGCGGAAATAGAAGTCATGTGACCTGCAGTGTGGTGTGCATATCATGAATTTATACGCAGGCAGCGCGAGTTAAGAGTGTTAATGTTTTCTAATATATATTATTGCGTTAGGATGGATAGTTGATTTGGTCTTTTATATACAGGAATTCGCCACTATACGTCAGGGATGTATTCCTGGAAAATGTTACTTAACTCGAAATTACGTAGAGTCAACTCTTAATTTTCCATAGCATAATGTAAACATCAGGGGTTGCGTTCCTAGCTGACATTTCTGGAAATAAATGCGTAACTAAATGTCACGAAGTGTACAAAAATGCATACACGATTATAAGGTGATATAAATTTAACTCATAATAATACAAATAAGAATGCACTCACGGTTGGAGAGCTTGCTGATCGAGACCTCTTGGTGTGGAGTTATGCAGACGAAGGGGCAGGTTCAGCTCTCTCTTTAGCTGACGATGAAGCTGGAGTCACGGGAATGTTCACCAGAGGAAGCTGCCTCTCTTCTTGGCTCTCCCCTGGAACCCCCTGGCTATAATTGCAGAGCGTTAAAAAACAATGTGTCCAAAGACAGCTGGACAGGAATTGACTTCATCTGCTGGTACAGCTCCTTGTAGCAGTGAATGCCACTGGTTAATATTCGTGGTGGTGGTGGTGATGGAGGTATCGTTTCACCGGCCTCTTCCTCAGCTTGTTGTTTTTCCAGCTGCATCAGATCCTCATTTGACTTTACCAAAAGAACCAAAGAGTGTTGCAATCGAAACGTCGTATTCTATTATTATGTTATTTAATTTCTTTCTACTTGACTTTACCGAAAGAACCAAAGAGTAATACATGATATCCAAGGGTGTACTCAACAAAAACTCCAATATCCTGCCCCTTTTTAACATACCGTGTACATATTCTTGGTTCTTTCGGTAAAGTCACGCAGAAGGGACACAATAAAATAATATTTTTTATTATTTTATTGTTTCCCTTCTACGTGACTTTACCGAAAAAACCAAGAATATGAATCCCTGCAGTCACGAAAGCTTTAAATCAAAATGTATACTGTGTACATATTAAAACAAATAAAAGCAAATGTAACAGAAAATGAAATCACTAAAGTTTTATTTTCTACAAAAAGAATCCTCAACGTGCCATATTTTTATGGCTGCATCCTCCAGTTGAAGGAGCTTATGAATGTTTTAAAAGGGATTGCAGTGAATTTGCTACTTTTGAAATCACAAATGCAATTCACTGAAACAGCAACGTTCACTCGAGACTATGGAGGGGGCTTAAGGGATTTACTCTTTTTTCATATTAAAGTAAAATAGCGCGCACGTACCCCAGTCTCCCAGCAAGGTTGAAACGAATTACTTTGTTTTGTGTTGGAAGGAAAAAAAAATATCTCACGTGCATCACTCGCCTTCCAAAGTCGAAAGCTTCGTTCTCACATCCAAACACTTTATCAAGGATTATGCCATAAAATCACCCATCAGTAACTTGTGACCTATACCTACAGAAGGGCCCCTTTGTGCTGTTTTCAGGGAAACTCCCTCCTCATCCGTAATTCTGTGATTCTCTGCGCCAGATCTGCTGCAGCAAAACCGCATTACGTTTTCATTTGGGTTCCACGAAATATTGTTTTTTTTTCCCTTTGGCAGTATATCCAAGATGACTCATCTGCCCAAAAGTAACACGCACACAGGAGCGATGCTCTCTACCTTTTCTGCTCCATGCTTTTGGAGAGACATTTCGATAGTGCCAGACTTACATGTTTTGTTATATATGCGTGTATAAAAGCCGCTATGGGGTAATATTAAGCAGTTTTTTGTTATGTATTTATGGACTCATGTGCTTACACAGTATAATATATTCATGGGCATCCTGTGGTTTATGTCAATCCTTTCATTAAAATTATCTAATTCTAGCTCGACTATACCCACAGCTATGAGTATTATGTAGAGGCGTCGGATTATTTTTCCTCAGAAATATCCAAACATGGACTTATTTATCTTGAATTCCAGCTAAATGGGCTACTTTTTTACCATACACGTACAATATTACTCGTAATAAACACGATGTTTATAATTTGACAAGGGACCACAGGAAGATGTGATAGGCCATTAAATGTGACAATGAAAGTATGTGTTCTGTAACCATCAGTTGCGTCCAGTATTTAAATCACAACTATTTGTGTTTTCCAGCAGTTTCTATTTGTATTGAGTCCGTGTAGTACATGGAGGGGCCAAATTAGGAATTGTATGTACATGATCCCCTGAACCAGATGGAACTACTGCAACAGGCAACGACTGGAGGAGGCCTTCATCCAGCAGTAGCTCGATCATGGCTCATGCTGATGATAATTATTTGTACCAGTTTATATATGTGTAATTAGAAACCAGTTGCGACATTTCAAACGTCGAAGTGATGTGACAGAAAACATAGAGCTTACCTGCCAGGGTTGCACGTTGGCTATTACATAGCTAACGATTGGAAAACTCAGAAGATCGATTTATTTGAGATAAATACGTGAATGTGTACTTTGTTTACGACTGAACCAGTTTGTGGTTGCAACATTATACGGCGTGTAGAGAGGGGCCACATCACCTCAGTGCCAAACCTCGACTGCCATTGCAAAACGTTGATGTTTTTATTTATTTATGAAACTAATTTGTAATTTAGGGCTCAAATGGCACATATCGTGCTGAATAGGTATTTAATTTATTAATGTGTCTTAGAGAGAGAGGAAAAAGTCTGATGGATGCATAATGTAATAAAGCGAGGTGGAAATAATGCATCAGGTAAAAAGGGGTGACTACAAGACCAATATGTCACAAGGTAGAACACCCGTCGATAAACATTCGCTTTTGTGTGAAGTTTTCTCAGAAATTAATGTAATGGAAGATTGTACTTTTAATTATTGTCAGCATGATTGCTTTCGTTATTGTTATATATGATTTCTAAAAAGTCCACTCTGGCGACCTTGAAAACACCTCGCGCTAATGCATTGTCATTACAATGAGCCATACTTATTTGTAATTAAACTTTGTAGAAATTACATTACGTTAGGTGTTTATGTTTTATGTGCTTTTATTTATTTCCAGCATGCAATTACAATAATGATAATCATGTGTACAATGTGAATGTTGCGTATATTATTCTGCCATTGTGCTGTATAGCTCTCCGATGTGTTTTTGGGTTGTGCCTTTTGCTGTTTGACATGATGTTCAACGCTATATAATCGAGGATGAAAATGGAGCTGCTCAATCAGTTCCTAAAAAAAGCTTCCAGCACGTGGACATCATTCTGGAGAGCACAATGACACATTTGAAGACACTAACTAAACTAAGCAATTTTTTTCCCCAGGTAAGGCCCACTGAGCTATAGAGCTCCTTTTCAAAAGCAACCTGGCCACAAACGATATCATTTGGAAATGTATAGCAGCCAAATAACCTCAAAACGCATGTTTCTAAATGCGGAGGGAAAAACCCGGACGACCCGGAGGAAAAAAAATTCCACGCGAAACATACGCACTCCAAAACATACGGGCATCAGGGTCGGGTTCGAACCCACGGCCTCCTGCATACCGGGCGAAGATAGTTAACATCTCCTAGCCACCGTGGCGGCCCCCACACCGCGGCGCTGCACTGCGTGGGTCTGTTGCGTTGGTCTCCCACATCCGTGCGCTTCGTGTTCTCGGCATTGCAGGTCCAGAGCTATCGAGCAGCTCCTTGTCTGCCCGCCTGGTAATGGGCGTCTGGTGGCTCTTTGCGTTCATCGTCGTGTCCTCCTACACAGCAAGCCTCACCGCGCTGCTCACCATCAACCGCATGGACCCTCCCATCAGGCAAGGAGATTGCTGTGTAGCGCCCCACACACAGATGTGCACGGCTCGGAGGGTGGGTGTCCGGCCACCACGTGCAGCCAGTGGGGACGTAATGTGAAAATTGCCCCCCCCCGTGCAGTTCGCGTTTTGATAACAGGTGAAGTGCTTTGTTGGCTTTATCCTGGAAGGAGCTTTATCGATGTAACGCCGTTGTTGTCGTAAGGGGGGACTTTATGGGTACCTATGCCGTCCAGCATGATTGAACATGATATTCAAATGACTTGAGTTAGAAAGCAAATATGTATTTACATGCATCGTTAAACAAATCATAATTATCAGCAGTGAACACAATGGGCTGCACAAGAGATGGTGATGCTTTTGGAAAGCCTGAATCAAGCAGTGGATTGATCATAGCTGCTGATGATGATGATGACAACATTATTGCACCACCACTATTACAACAACAACAATAATATTGTAATTGTTTATCTACCTGTGTGCAAGCCCGCCTGCTTTCGCCAGTATCTCAGGGCCAGCGTCCTTCCCTTTGGCGACAGCATATGAGGAATTTGTCTATGGTGCACATGCTGAAAATAAACTGCTGCTCCACTTGGAAAATGGCCTCAAGGCCTTTTGAATTGTCAAACTACATCCTCCAACCGTAACTACTTTGCTGTTGATCAAAAGAAGCAAAATGTCCTGTTAGCGACTGATAGCCGTAACCACATGAGGCCGCCAATTGTTCTACCACCAAGGAAGTAATCCCATCTGCCATGTATGCATTATGCCCCCCATTCCAATCGGTTGTTTCTGTTGGCGTTCGAGTTTATTCCTAACAAGGTGTGACTGTAGGGACCACCTGCTGGGCCGGTTTTAACGGTGAAGGCAACTTGTCATCTCCCGTGTAGTGCCATCACACACCCTTGCGTGGAGAGAGAGTGCACATCGGTAACCAAAGCGGAATGTTAAGGCACGAGGAAAACATTTAGTGGCACGTTGGCACACGCACGGGGATGGGGTGGATTAGCTCCATTGCTGACAGCGTGCCCTCACTCAATTTTGCATGACTAATCCCGCACCTCAATCCCAGGCCTGTAAGATCCGTGCTGTCAGTAAGATCCGTGCTGTCAGCAAAATCCACAGCGGCTCCACATCGTCCATATCGCCCCGTACCCCGCCCTGCCTCGGCCCGCTGTCAAGTTTCAGCGTCCATGCAGGGATTGCATACATGCTACAATGGCGAAATTCCCTGGAACTTCCAATGATAATAAATCCAGTGCTTGCAGGCAGGGGCTGCCTTCAGACAGGGAGGTAACTTGTAATGTTTGTAGTAGTTTTTGCCCCCACTGTACACTCTATGTTGTTTTTCTTGACAACTCCTTTTTTTTGGAGGGGGATGCATGTATGTTGAACTTTTTTCGCACCGTACGTAGCCAACCGTGCTAATCGAAGGTGCGGGTGAAGGACAACAAACTAAACAGAAAAAAAAAACAGAAAATTAGTTTTCAAGTATTAGTTTTTATAAGTGGAGGCATGTTGTCCTCTTGTTTATTCTGTTTCTTACAGTGAGGGAAAAAAGTATTTGATCCCCTGCTGATTTTGTACGTTCGCCCACTGACAAAGAAATGATCAGTCTATAATTTTAATGGTAGGTTTATTTGAACAGTGAGAGACAGAATAACAACAACAACATCCAGAAAAACGCATGTCAAAAATGTTATACATTTATTTGCATTTTAATTAGGGAAATAAGTATTTGACCCCTCTGCAAAACATGACTTAGTAATTGGTGGCAAAACCCTTGTTGGCAATCACAGAGGTCAGACGTTTCTTGTAGTTGGCCACCAGGTTTGCACACATCTCAGGAGGGATTTTGTCCCACTCCTCTTTGCAGATCTTCTCCAAGTCATTAAGGTTTCGAGGCTGACGTTTGGCAACTCGAACCTTCAGCTCCCTCCACAGATTTTCTATGGGATTAAGGTCTGGAAACTGGCTAGGCCACTCCAGGACCTTAATGTGCTTCTTCTTGAGCCACTCCTTTGTTGCCTTGGCCGTGTTTTGGGTTATTGTCATGCTGGAATACCCATCCACGACCCATTTTCAATGCCCTGGCTGAGGGAAGGAGATTCTCACCCAAAATTTGACGGTACATCGCCCTGTCCATCGTCCCTTTGATGCGGTGAAATTGTCCTATCCCCTGAGCAGAAAAACACCCCCAAAGCATAATGTTTTCACCTCCATCTTTGACGGTGGCGATGGTGTTCTTGGGGTCATCGGCAGCATTCCTCCTCCTCCAAACACGGCGAGTTGAGTTGATGCCAAAGAGCTCCATTTTGGTCTCATCTGACCACAACACTTTCACCCAGTTGTCCTCTGAATCATTCAGATGTTCATTGGAAAACTTCAGACGGGCATGCATATGTGCTTTCTTGAGCCGGGGGACCTTGCGGACGCTGCAGGATTTCAGTCCTTCACGGCGTAGTGTTACCAATTGTTATCTTGGTGACTATGGTCCCAGCTGCTTTGAGATCATTGACAAGATCCTCCCGTGTAGTTCTGGGCTGATTCCTCACCGTTCTCATTAACATTGCAACTCCACGAGGTGAGATCTTGCATGGAGCCCCAGGCCGAGGGAGACTGACAGTTCTTTTGTGTTTCTTCCATTTGCGAATAATCGCACCAACTGTTGTCACCTTCTCACCAAGCTGCTTGGCAATGGTCTTGTAGCCCATTCCAGCCTTGTGTAGGTCTACAATCTTGTCCCTGACATCCTTGGAGAGCTCTTTGGTCTTGGCCATGGTGGAGAGTTTGGAATCTGATTGATTGGTTGCTTGTGGACAGGTGTCTTTTATACAGGTAACAAGCTGAGATTAGGAGCACTCCCTTTAAGAGTGTGCTCCTAATCTCAGCTCGTTACCTGTATAAAAGACACCTGGGAGCCAGAAATCTTTCTGATTTAGAGGGGGTCAAATATTTATTTCCCTCATTAAAATGCAAATCAATTTATAATATTTTTAACATGCGTTTTTCTGGATTTTGTTGTTGTTATTCTGTCTGTCACTGTTCAAATAAACCTACCATTAAAATTATAGACTGATCATTTCTTTGTCAGTAGGCAAACGTACAAAATCAGCAGGGGATCAAATACTTTTTTCCCTCACTGTATATTCTCCACACTCGTGATTGTGCGAACAATAGTGGGGCGTTTAGGGGGGCGTTTTAGCTTTCAGTCGGGGGGGGGGCGGTGAGGTGGGGGGAGGGGAGGGGCTGGTTGATAGCTATTGGTGGGGGGGGGGGGGGGGGGGCTGTCGCTGGTGTGGTGCAACGGTCAGTACACTGGACTCGCAATCCAGGGATCGCCAACCTCCCGGCGAGGCGATTGAAACAACAGTCCAAAAGTGTCTCAAATCCGCCCCCCCCACACTGCCTCCGTCCACCTAGCAGTGTCAATGGGTTCACTCCAGTGGAGGTACGTACGTGTCGAAGACTATAGACCAAATGCCCTCGAAGGCTTCTTCCTCTGAAAGCCCTTCCGCCAGCAGTGGCGTGATCCAAGACATTGCAAGGCCTTTACGCTTTCTTAGCCTCTATTATTGGTGCTCAAGTTTATCAACCCCCCAAATTGAAATGGTCTTCAATTTGTAAAGAACACATAGGTAATACGTCTCGGGTAGTGAATATTATTCAAATCAATCAAATATCTTTATGGTTCTTTTGGTAAAGTCACGTAGAATGAGAATAAAACAAAAGAAGACAATACATTTGTTTTATTGTTTTATTCTCATTCTACGTGACTTTACCGAAAGAACCAAGAAGATGAATCCTTGCAGTCACGAAAGCTTTAAATCGAAATTCAATCAAATATACCGTATAACCAAAATTTTTCATATTTTGCATCGTTTTAGTCAACATTTTTTTTTTAATATTTACACAAAGATGTTGTTGGACTGTCAATGTAATCATCAGCTGAGTAGTTTTATTTAAATTTATTCAAGTTATGAAACTGTTCAGTTATTTTTTAAGAGAATGTAAGACAGTATATATGCGTGCTTTTATTACCCATTTTTACTTAGTTATTTTCTTTGTTCAAATATTGGGCAGAGTTGGGGGTTTTTTTGCCATGTTGTTCTATATTCGAATGTTGAGTTTTTGTTGTTTTCTTTTTGCTGTATTTGTTCCATATGACTGGCTAATGCAGGCTCTTGGCAGTCATATTCATCCTAAATACTTGACACTTCAGGGACGCTGTTGCGGTGTGTAATGGTCAGTACACTGGATTTGATCTTCCGTGGTGGCAGTCAAAAGAGAGGGGGGAGTTTATTCAATGGCCACGCCTCTGTCCACCCAACGGGATAAATAATCGCACCACAGTGAGTCGATTTGGCAGGTCTCGTGCGATGGAGTAAAGTGTGAGTACTCTCACCTCTTTCAAGATGTCTGACCAGCACCCACAATACTCTCTTGAGGCGCTCTCTCGGGCTGCCTCGACTTGAGACCCTTCCTCCAGCAGTGGTGTGAGGTAAGCAATTTTGCAGGGCTCCTGAATTTTTACTTCACACTTTAGCTACAATACACATTTGACAATGTGTCATTATTATTATTTTTTTGGTTAACGAGTGCAAGAGTGATGTCAGCCGTCAGTGGCAGTTGAACAGAGCAGCGGTTAAACGCATTAAACTCAGACTTCATAACGCCGCAGCGTGCTCTCCGCGCGAGTCGACACGCTCCCGCTTGCGCTGCACGCATCAGGCATCGGTGTAGCTGTCACACTTGCACCGGCTCAAACACGGGCACGGGTAGGGACTTGGCAAAGGTGGGCAACGCCGTCTGACTCATTCGGCGAGGCATCTTTGCCTCGCTTGGGGTAACCTTTCCCTCTGGACGTGTCCATCTGTCACCATGCGGGCTAAGGTACTGAAAGGCTGTTCTCAAACGCAGACATCTGGACTCCTCTATTGCCTCCTCATGGCGGGCCACACCGCGATGCTGATTACGGTAAAATTGTTTACGTCCCATATGGCACATGCTTCTTGATGTGCATTAATGGGTCGCAAGCGCCGAAGCACATGCCCTCGCACATAAGGAGGTCTTGCGCACGCGTTAAATGTATATTTATTTTAAACAATACCTTCGTGCAACACATTGTGCATAGCCGCAAGATCATTTGCTGGCTAGAACATGTTTCCACTTGTAACATAAATGTTCACAGGATGGGAACTTGCAGCAGTGTATGGAATATCATAACTATGGTTACCTCTCCACGGGGTGCCTTGACTGCAGTAGCTTGTATAGATATAGTGATGTCTCTGGGTTTTTTTTATATATTCGAGTCTACACACTGTTTAGCAAAAAGCAGGATATGCTATAAAAAAAAATCCAGTGGATTGCCAGACAGTATGGGAAATCAGCGGACACTTGTAAATGGCTTTACAAAAAAAAAAGCAAAGACCAAAACCAAATGTGCAAGCTGGCAGGGTTTTAAAGAGGGAAAATTAAAGGTAAGGTAAAGCTTCAGCCCTGCAATTGCTTGCTCACGCCACTGCTGGCAGAAGGTGCCACCAGCTAGAGGGAGCCCTAGAGAGACCCTTCTAGAGGGTACTTTGGCCTTCTCTTCCACGCTAGTCAGACATTTTAGAAAGCGTGGGAGCACCCACAGGTTAGCGCACACCGCACGCGGCCTGACCACCGACTGTTGCGTACCAATTTATACTGCAGGGTGGAGGAGGCAGGGGGGGGGGTAATTAAAAAACTTGCACTTTTGTTTAAACTTCCCATTGTTTCAACTTCCCAATGTTTCAACCGCCACGCCGGGAGCTCGATCCCGCGATATTTTGGGATTGCAAGTCCTCACACCCTACGGCAGCGAGACCTTTTTTTTGTTGTTGCAAGAAAAATAACCTGCTGAAAATAAACCAGAAACAAACATTTTTTTTGACATCCGTTGTTGCATTCCTCTGACACTCGCGCGGATTATACACGAATCTCATTCGCTCCCTGTGCTGCGTTCTCTCCACATGCGCGAACACGCACACGCACGCGCACACACACAGGTCCATGCAGGACCTGGTGAGGCAGTCCGATCTGCAGTACGGCACAGTGCTGGATTCTGCAGTGTTCGAGCACATCAAGATGAAAGGGTTGAACCCACTGGTTCAAGATGGACTGTTCGCGGAGATGTGGAAAGTGATTGGGCGAAACAATGGAACGGAGAACTGCGTGCGTGACCCCTGGGATGGCATTCGCAGGGTGAGTGCTCGCGTGTGGATGCCTTGCTGCGGAGCACGCTGAATTCCTCGAAATAGCTCTACCCCCCCCCCCCCCCCCCCCCCCTTTTCTAGTGTTCCGTCTTGAAGGCGGACAAATTTGCGAAATCATAAACATTCATCGTTTGATGAGTTCATTCATGCAATGATAATTCGACGAAGTGAAGAGAAAGTTGAACATACATACACAACGTTGTCTTCATCATCATCACAATCATCGCCATCTGTCCCTTTTCTAAAACTCATCAGTGACGATGGTACAAACGAATTTCCACCATGGTTGTCTTCAGCTAATCCGGTAAACCGTATTCATTCAATTCCTATTCTTTTAGATTTATTGCCGCTACATCTATCCAACCCCCCCCCCCCACCAGCCCCCTCTAGTTTCCACCCTTACCCCTGTCTCCTCCCACGTGTGCATCCCATCACGGTCAAGTGCAGGATCATGTCTGGGCTCATTCCCATGACGTGCCAGAGCCACAGTAGTCCACTGCCCTTCATTTTGTTTAAAATATTCTTAAACGAACACTGACGTACTGTCGGATTGTAAACCACGTAACTTCACAAACCGATGTGCTAATCAAAGTTATATTAAGTAAGGAAATCCAAATTAAAATAAGAAATAGGGTTGATTATAGCTGACATGCCTAGTTTTGTAATACAAATTACAGAGAAAAACACATTGGGCAATAGAAGAATATGGATTGGAGCGCTGTCTTTCCGACAGTTCTGTTTCTTCACCTGAGGACAGCTACTTGTGTTGTGGCCGAAACGTCGTGAGAATTTTATTTTATGTTTTATTTTTATTATTTTATTATTTCCCTTCTACGTGACTTTACCTGAAAGAACCAAGAAGAATATGGATGCTCGTTTGCATTCTGCATAATTCCCTGTTCTGGAGGCTTGTAGTTATACTAACTCAAACATTTAGCAGATATGTGTTAAAAGGGTTAAGAGTAGATATTTTTTCACTCTTTTTTATTATAAAAGTGAATTTCTCATACCTGCAATTCTGCAGATATGTGTACATAGTTTTTTTTTTATTTTCAGGTGTATCGGTGTCAGTCATACTGTTTTCAACTCATGTTAATAAGCAAAAATGCAATTGCATGACGAAAGTATGATTGGTCCATGAGGTCCTTGAGGGTGACTTTCACTAACATTTCCAGGAGTGGCACGCACTCCTACTAGAGGTAAACTTCCATTTCAGCTTGTACGGAGGAATGATCAGTAGTGAGGCTCTCTTTGTAATGCACAAAAGACTTGAGTCACCAGATTATTTTATAAGCAGGCTTATTCAAATGTTAACTACACTAGTTTACCACTGTGGAAATTTAACATTTAATTCCACGTAAGCAGGATTGGAGCGGACAGTGCCTCGGTGGTTTGCACACTGGCGCAATGAACCTGGCGACCCCGTTTCGATTCCGTGCCACGGCTAACATTGGTGGCGAATGATATCCACCTTCACCGGGTCGTGCTGACAGCGTGATGAAGGGGGGAGGCCTTCTCACTCACAGCGTGAGTGAGAAGGCCTTCATCCAGCAATGAAATTGACAAGGGCTGTAAATTATTAGCATTATTGTTCATGATAAATGTTTTTGGGTTCGATCGCGTTAAGTATAAATGTGTCGTAACTTTCCACCACCCGACACAGTCAGTAAGGGTTTGTCACGTAAACAAAACGTGCCAATTAGTTTACTACTTCAGCCCACCGATGTGTTGGAGAGTAAATCTACAACATTTACAATTTGAGTACGATGTTTCGCTGGTCGTGACATCCAGCATCATCGGGCGATTTCTGGCAAATCGCCCAATGATATTTTATGTAATTACCAGCGAAACGTCGTACTCAAAAATTGTAAATGTTGTGGATTCACTCTTCAACACACCGCTGGGCTAAAGTAGTGAACTATTTTGTATTTTGTCAACGTGACACTTTTTTACTGATTGGCCGTGCCGGGTGGTGGAGGGTTACGACACATATAAATAACTAACGCGATCTAACCCAAAAACGTTTATTAGAAATGAATATTGGTCGCGAAAGCCTACGTGTTAAACGAGCATGATCATATTAGACATACATAAGTCATGATAACCTATTTTTACGTAATATTAGTCCTTTTGCGTTTGTGTGTGTTTGTAAGTTTTATTATGTGTAAAATGTGACATTTCTTTGAACATTGAGTAATGCACCATATCTATCCCTGAATATGTTATGCTGGTACGTGAGATTGTATGTTAACGTATTTCTCATACACACAACTTGACACGTGAAATTTATCAAGTTCACACTCCCCCCCCCCCCCAGCCATTACCCATTGGTGCCCACACGTAAAAAAGTTGTGCCGTTCAAAACAAATCGGAAACACTTAAAACTTCGGTGCCATCAAACACGATGTCGACATGAAGCATTTTCAGCATCACACGCCTCTCTTGACTCGCCTGCGCTCTCTCGAGTGCTGCAGCATGCTTGGGTCAGCACATGGCATGCCATCTGAAAGCCATTATAAGATGTCCCTCCCCCCATGGTCAGAGAGAACGTAAACTCCGCAATGAGGGTTCTCCATCACCGGTGCAATGCTGTTATGAAAAACGGCAAGGTCTCGAAAAAAATGTCACGCCATGAATCTTGAATGGCCGAGATGTGCGAGCCTCTGCCGGGACATCACACCACGTTTTGTCTGTGCGATCGGCGATTCGTTTGCCACGCTCAATGAGGGCTTCGCAACATCTTGACGTGGGGGGGTAATCTCCCTTGCAGGTATCTCAATTGGGACACAGGGTGAAAGGGGGTTCTTGCCATGCTTTTAAATGGTCAGCAACCTTGAATTAGCGATCCATTTGTCGCCGGTCAGATTTGATCTCCCAGAGCGCAAGTTGAAACAATGGGGCGAGTTTCTTGAGTTCATTCGGCCTCCCCACCACCCACTCTCTCCCAGCACTGTAAATCAATCAATATATCTTAATTGGAAGTGCCAATATCGCCCTCAATATAGTATGTGCATCGGTTCGCATTGCAACAGAACGGGAAAGGTATGGGGGTGGGTGGGTGGGGGCACAGAGAAACAGGAATGAAAGAAGTAACCCGTCACGACCTCAGCGGCTAACACCGACTGAGCAAGGTAAAGGTTCACCTCCAGCAGGCATGCGTGTGTCACTCCTGGAAATGCCAGTCGATATCACCCTCAAGGACCTCGCAGACCAATCATGCACTCGTCATGCACTTCTGCTCATTAACATGAGTTGAAAACATTATCAATCACACAGACTCCTGAATATGGTTGCGCAGCAGCGTGAATGGGTGCAACCACAGTTAGTCAACCGGCAGGTCGCGTGTCGTCTGTTCTCCCACCGCCTCCAAGATACCCCGCGCAGCGCAGGCGAGTAGGGCAGAATACCCTCTCGAGGGGCTCTCTCGTGGGAGGCCCTTCCACCAACATTGGGATGACCCGAGCACTTGCAGGGCTGCACCGATGCCTCTTTACAGGGTGCGTGTTGGTTTGTTTACTCGATTCTCCCGTGCCATGGGGAATTCGCAGGCTGCAGTGGCTGCGCGGAAACGATCAAAGTTCTAGATTTGAAGCGTTCGTGACTGCAAGGATCCATACTCTTTGGTTCTATTCGGTAAAGTCACGTAGGTAAAAAAAAAAATAACTATACAGTTCCACTTTGATCCAATAACGATCAAAGTGGCGCAGCTTTGTTGCGGCGCGTCATCACGTGGCCGCAGCCTGGAGATAAGAGGCCCCATGAAGTGATCTTGTAAACTCGACACCATCACACGCAGATACACTTTTGTATCACGTGCCTTTGCTCTGCGCTATGCATATCACAATAATCTACGTCATGGTGATGAGAAATCATTATCATCTACATTATATTTATGAAAATAAGTTAAAATAAATAAAATATATAATAGTAATTCTAAGAAATATATATTTTTTACATGTAGTACATATATAATCCGTTATCAAACAAACATAAGACGCGTTTTTCATTAACGAGAACCTTACCACAGTTGTTGGAACTGTATAGTTATTGTATGTGCACATCAAAACAGTAAGATACAACAATAGCAAGGATAATCGTAAGGCTACTATCGGATTAGCATTAACTGAGAATAATAGTTTAGCAAAAATGCTTTTGATTAGAGGGTGATACTTCACGGGAGAGGAACGCTCTCCGATTGCCCAGGGTGCAGTGGTTTCCTAAAACGTGGGATTAAGATGCATTTCAAGTAGTACTGCACATACTGCTTGAGAAATATCAGATAACAAATACAATTATATACCCTTTACAGTCCAATGAAATCACGTTTAATTAATTTAGCGTTTGCAATGGTTTAATGGCGGTCTTTAATTAACTGGAACCATAAAGGATTGTTATGTGCATTAAATTTACAGAACAGTAAATATTGTCAAAATTCGTTCACATATCTTACACAGCTTGCAACAGTTGTGTTCCACTTTGGAGTGTATGAACGTTGGTGTCTTTGGAGAGCGGTGGGTTCAGTGGTTAGCACACTCCGTTACGGACCTCACAACTGGGGTTCCATTATTGATCATGCCTTGCATCAATGGGTGGTGATATCTGGACCAGTCATGGGTCTCTCCTAGTTCCATGCAGCCATAAAATGTGTATCTATTTGGGTTGCCACCTCTCCTGGCAATCTCTGAATGTCCTCAGTTTCAAGGCGCTGCCACTATATACAAGTAACAGTTTTGGTCCATTGCATGATAAGTGGTTCTCCCCTCTTCTGGTCTCGTGATATATCCTCTTCCCCTGATATGGCCTTTGCATTTTTGCATCTCAGATGTACGAGACAAAGGCAACTGAGGGCGGTTTCTGGCCCACACCAATGTTCTCTTATGCCTTGCAGGCCTTAACACATGCTTTCTAACAGGCGATGCCTCTACAGTCTTCAAGGCCACCATATGAGCTCGTTGTGTGACTGTGTGCACACGCGCGTGTTCTCTACCT